GTCATCCGCAAAAAGCCAGGAGAATGATTGAACTACCTCCGGTAAGTCATTAATATAGAGAACGAAAAGTGTTGGTCCTAGTACGCTGCCCTGCGGTATACCACTAGTGACTTCCCGCCATCCAGATGTTTGACCATTTACATTCACCTGTTGTCGTCTATCTGTCAAAAACCCCTTGATCCAGTTTTGTACCCTCTCTGATATTCCATATGAAACCATCTTTCTTAGTAACCTCCTATGGGGAACAGTGTCAAACGCTTTCTTAAAGTCCATATATACAACATCCACACTCCCACCTTCATCAAGTATTTCTGTCCAATGGTCCATGACCTTCAAAAGCTGTAATACTGTCGATCTTCCCTTCACAAACCCGAACTGACCGTTGCTCAGTAACTGATTTTTTTATTAAATGATCCATTATCTTTTTGCGAACGACTTTTCCATCATCTTACATATAACACTAGTCAAACTAACTGGTCTGTAGTTACCTGCTTGCTTTTTATCTCCCTTTTTGTATAAAGCTGTAATTTTTGCTTTCTTCCATACATCCGGTAATACGCCCTCCTCAAGAGATTGATTAAACAGAATTGTTAGTGGTTTTACTATAACATCCTTTATTTCTTTCAATAGCCTTGGGTGAATATTGTCTGGTCCTTGGGATTTATTTGCGTTGAGATCTGAAATAATCCTATCAATTTCTTCCTCTGTTATTTCACAATCTATAAACTTCACATTAATGTCTCTATGCGGTAATTTAGGTACTTCTCCCTCTGGTTCCTTGGTAAACACACTTGTGAAGAAATCTATCAAAGTTTCTGCTTTCTCTTGATCACTCTTAGCTATGTGTTTGGTTCTGTTATTTTCGGTTACATGTAATTCTGCAATTCCACTTTTGCTTTTAGTTTTTGAATTGGCATATTTCCAAAATTTTTTGGGATTGGTTTTCACATTCTCCGCTATTTCTTTCTCTTTGTGTTTCTTTGCATTTCTCACGAGTTTTTTTACTTTATTTCTAGCCTTGGTATACTCTCTGTGCTTATTTTCCTCTCTGGTTTCCATATATCTATTCCAACATCTATGTTTTTTCTAATAGCCTGTAATATTTTGGTATCCAGTGGTTGACTGTATTTCCTCTTTGTAGATGATATAGGGATGTGCTTTTCAATCTCCTCATTCAGTTTACGAGTGAATAACTCATAGTTCTCCTTAATTCCATCTCCATTTAGATAATTGTCCCAGTTTATATCTAGCGCCTCACGTATTTTGTTGTAGTCGCCCTTGTTGAAGTTAAGTTTCCTGGTTGATGATGACTACCTGTCTATATCACACACAAATGAGAATCTGATACACCCATGATCACTCTTACCTAATGCACCTTGTACCTCTAAATCTTCCACCATGTTTTCTTCATTCGTAAACACTAAGTCAAGTAAGCTAGGTTCTTGGTTTTTTCTTAATCTTGTTGGGGTATGCACATGTTGATACATAAATATATCTTACAGTTTCCATGAATTGGTGTTCTAATTTATTGTTCTGATCAGTTGCACAAGTGTCCCAGTTGATATTGCGATAGTTGAAATCACCCATAATTAGTTTGTAAGAATAATCCATATTCCCAGCCTCTTGCAATAATAAATTCAACATTTTATTGTTTTCATCCGAGCTATTTGGGCTCCTGTATACACAGCCTACCAATAACTTGTCTCGCTTACTGGTGTTGATACTCACCCATATGTGTTCCTTAAATTCTGTTTTCATTGTTACCTCTGTTGCTCTTAAATCTGAATGTATATATAATGCTGTTCCTCTAATACCATCCTCGTTGACCTGATTATTTATAAAAAGATCATACCCCTCAATATTTAGTTCTGTATTAGACACATTATATCTACTGTGTTTTGGCAGTACTTCATTTATTCCAATTATCCTCCATCACAACCACTGCTTTCAGCTCCTCTAGCTTATTTGTTAACACATCTGCATTTGTGAATAAACACTGTATTTTTTTCAACTGTTGTTTGTTAATGATTGACATCACATTTCTTTTTCTTTTCACCACTATTTCCAACATTTGAATTGTCACAATTTAAATTAATATTTACAACTGAACAACTATTTACATTATCAGAAATAAATTTCTGACTTATTGATCCTCCTTCTGCACTTTCACAATTTTCCTTGCCCATGGTGGGCCTCGTATCTTGAAAGAGAATTCCCCCGACTTGCTGTCCTGATTTCTTGCTCTGGCTTCCTCCCACAATTCTTTTTCCTTGGCTCTCTCCGCTTGAGTCATATCATGGCTTAGTCTTACACCTTCAAATTTAGAGTTGCCTTTCAGCTTTGCAATGTTTTTAAATAGATCCTTTTTGGTATCCAAGCTATCTAACACAGCTAGAATAGGTCTAATATTACCCTTTTTTCTGCCTGCTGATGTATCCTCTGTGCCTGTGATTTTTGTTTTCCTTCCTAGCCGGATAACCCGTACCACTTTAGAATCCTTGCCTTTCACTTTGCAGGTTTTCAGTACTTCTTTCACAATATCTTGGTCATATTGAATTCTATCTTCCCTGTCAGAAGATGCACTCTCCTCTGCCCCATATATTATGATGTTGTTCTCTCTGTTTTTCCTTTCATTAATTTCAGTTAATATGGTGTCAAACTGTTGTTGTTGAGCCTTATCATCATGCTTCTTCTTTCCTACTTCCTCCTCCATATCCTCGTCCCTTTGCCTTTGATCTTCCCTGAGATCCCTAATGTCACTTATCTCTTCCTTCACTATTTCTCTAACCCTCTCTTCATCACATTTCTTTTCAATAGTAGATTCCAGAGAACTAATCCTCTTCTCATATTCGATCATAATTTGCTTGCATTTCTCTTCAATTTTCATATCTGTTATAATGTTTCTCTCTATTTTCTCTCGACATGGCACACAAAACCACATAGAATCTTCTGATTTCTGAAGAAACTTGTATTCCTCATCACTTTTCCCTAAACATTTAGTACAGAAGTGAGACTTACATCTGTTACACTCGAGCATCTTCGCCTCTGGGTCCTTGAAAATGACTGTGCATTTTTTACATGTCCATGCTTCATCCAATTCCTCTTCGTCACTAGCCCAAGGAGTATTCATAGGCGAAGCCGCTGGTGATTGGAATCTCGACGGAGGACGGGAATTTGGCCTTGACCCACCTGCCTTAACCTTTCTAGACACCGAAGTTGTACTTTCACTTTTACTTGCCCCAGAGCTTCAATGGAAACATATTTACATATGTATAGTCTAGCAATATATACTGGTCAGTACAACTATGGATGTCTCTGTTAGTCTGTGGTATTCTCCTTCTATGATGTTCCTGATGAGGTAATATTGGTTTTCTTTTAACAGCAAAGTGATTAGCTTACCTGACCTTTTTCATTCTCATATGTATTAGCATTGATGCGTTCAGTTCTTCATAAATTAGCCACTTGTACAATTTCTGAATTCCGGTAACATTGTTTAAATAATTAATCTTATTTACCAAACTATCTTACATAATCTTAACATCTTGTCTTATGAGCAAGAGATTGAATCTCACGTACCGTATGGCCAATGGGCACAGGGAAGTTCTTTCTGTAAACTCATTAAACTTTGAACTGTTCAAATAAGATTTTGCATCTTATTTTATTATTTTTTTTTAACTTAAATTTCCTCATCAATTGACATATAATCTGAACTATCATCACTTGTTAGGTCATATTGGTCAGCATCTCGCTCCATATTGCTGTTGGAACTATCTAAGTCTTGTGACTCTAATCTAGATCTCCTATCTTTTAAACGTTTAGATAATTCCATTAAAGGAATATCATCTTCATCTGACGAATTATCCCTTTCTTGACGAAATCTCCTTGTTATTCTGTCAAGGGGTGGTAGCTTAGCATCATCTGAACTTATCTCTGAATCAGAACCATCTTCTGGTTGTACTACAAAATGTTGTTTCCTAATTGGACGGGTGGAAGTACCCGTAGGTATCTCCCAGTCATCTATGTTTGCTCGCCTCAAGTGTTCTGCGTGTGTCTTTGTGCTAGTACCGTCTAACTGATTTTTGACAATAAATGTCACTGGTGTCCTTTGCTCTACTATCCTATAGTATGGGCGCCATTTATCTTGCAACATATTTTTCCTCAAATGATTCTTTATATATACAGGGTCCCCAACTTGAAATTTTATTTCTTTACTGTTCTTATCTGCATATTTAGCCTGCTTCCGTTTAGCTCGTTTTAATTGTCTGTGTACTACTGTGAATGACTACGTTTGGTATGTGTCATATACATGTGTACTTTCTTACCATGGTGCACCCACATGCCAGGTTTGAATTTCCAATATGAAAACGTATGAGCCTGGACATGCTCTTTCTTCCACAGAGGTCAAAGTTAAGGTCACAATGGCCTACTTTTGGTACACGACAAACAATCACACCATGGTGCACCTACATACCAATTGTGAAGTTCCATTATGAAATGGTATAGGAGTTGGATCTCGAATAAGGATTTTCTTTACAGAGGTACAAGGTCAGTTTCCTACTTTTGGTACCAGACACACCATTTTACCATGGTGTGCCCACATGCCAAGTTTTCAGTATGAAATACTATGTAAAACACGGTTATAACAAATCTCTGGGGACCATGATTTTTAGTTTGTTATAAGCATAATTCATTATACACTTTAGATTTTCATATAAAAGGCACCTAAGGAGACTTAAAAATCACTGAATTCATTGTAAGCGCGTTTTACTGTAGTATAGGGACAGACAGAATTGACGCAAACTACAGCCCCCCTTAAGTTCCCGGTGGGGGAGTAATAAATCCTGTGATGGACATAAAATTTTACAAAAGTTTAGAGGAGATTTAAAAACCATCAACCATGTAATAATCCATGACATATTTATGCCTACTGAAAGCTTCTCAGGAGTTGGACCATTTCCTGGAAAAGATCTATCCCAAAACACAATGGAGTTTCTGTGAGTAATTTCAGATATTGTCTGATGGTGTTCCTCCATTATAGGAAATGTTGGTGTTGGCGGTATTTCCACGCAGTCAGGATCAACGTGGTCTGGCACTGGACCATCATAGTCAATTCCAAAGTTCAATTGATCATTCTGTAATAAGAATAGGACACACTTAACAGTATTCTGATTCCTGAATAATTCAGTGCAAGTCCCCTGTCAATCAAATAGTCAAATATTTGAAAGGGCCATAACTCTGAATTTAAAATGCTCTCATGAAAGTTTAATTAAGTGATCTGAAACAATAACATCTCCAAGTATGGTTTCAATTTAAAGTATTCCATGTATAATAGATGTCGGCAAACATCGGTGAACAATTCACATAGCAGCAGGGGAAGAAAACTCCATTTTTTTCAAATGTCACATGGTCACACAATGGGGGTGGGGTTAGGTTACTCTGTATTTGCTTTCAGATTAAAGATTTAATGCTAATATCTGCTGGTTCCCTTTAATTTTAAAATTATATCCACAAAACTCCATTGATGAAGCTAGTTGGCTACAGTTTCATGCTTGTGATACATTCAGGTTATCTATTATAACTGATTTTTACCTCACTTTGCGGATACCATGACGGATCCAGTATCTGTCCTCTGATCCACAGCTGAAGAGGCGTTTGATTTCCCTCTGTTCGAATAGGTCTCCGACAGAAGGAATCTCTGAAGACATCCAAATGCTGCTGAATCCTGGACTTAAATACTAGATGAAGAGCTAGGAGATGGGTCTCATCATCAGGATCTAACACAGATTCTATTTCCATATGATGAAAGATTTGATAGTAAAGTGCAACAACACCTGGCCACAGCTCTCCAAAATCTTTCAATCCTATTTTGATAAACAAGTTTTATTAGATAGAACATCTTATAAAGGGTAGAGAGTATAATAGCCTTTAGTGAAACCACACTGCTTACTTTCCCAAAAATTTCTACTGTTATATAATCAGGGCTCTTAACTCCAACCATTAAAATATGTGAACATCCTTTAGTTATTTGTTGTCTGTTGTACCTATTTTAATGCCCAAATATTTTGCTTTTAATACTTCTATAAAGTGACTCTTTTTTCTTTAATATAATGACTTCATACTCATGACCTGCTACCCCAGTAATTTATTTACTCTTTACCTTTGATTGTGGACACTTCTCCCTGCAATAAAGCTTTTGGGTCCTTTCTGGGTTACCATATACTCAGCCACTTTGACATTTTCTCCTCCCTTGTCTGTTCTTACTTTTTCTGGAGTTCCATATTCTTGGACCGCATGCAAAAATGCAGCTAACACTGTTTCTGCACAGTTATTTGTGTTTACTTGTAGAAATACTGGTAGTCTGGAATAACCATCGATGCCACCATGAATCACAAATCTCCATCTAAATTTGAAACATCTACAGCTGTACATGTAGACTACAATTACTTTTTGTAATTTAAATTGTATGGGTGAGCTTTTTGCATCTATTTTCATAGCCTTTTAAATGGTCAAAAATAGTTAACGGCCAAAAAATATCACTGTACGATTTTAATCAACATAACTTTTTGATGTTTGAACATATCTTTTATTGTCCATAAGCAAAAAATACATATTGGGCACAAGTTTTTACAACTTAGAAAATTGAAATGCCCTCTCCTGAACTGAAGACAGTCTTGTGAAATCATTTTTTACATTAATGCACTGTCAATAAATTTATCAGAATATCTGTATACATACAATTGTACTATTTGACCAGGGTTTAAATGCTAGTTGTTTTTTTAAGATGATGATGAATTTTTGCATGGAGAAAGCCAAAATCAAAATTAGGCTGGGGTGGTATGTGTGTGTGTGTGTGGGGGGGGGGGGGGGTGTTAGCTACTGGCTACACATACACCCCTAATTCCGCCCCTGATGTATATACTACAAAATACCTTATCAATTTGTGATTTCCGTCAATATGCCACAATGCTAGAGGAGCTCATACACTGTAACTTCTTCGCTGAAGCCTATGAGATGATAAAAACATTCTTCTCAATAATGTACCCTGGGGATCCACTTTTCTTACCAAATCCCTTACTTTTGACTGCTGCACAATGTGTCCCTTTGATTGGAGGATGGATGCTATAGTTTTATATCCGACGTTCGGAAATTCGTCGATGATCTTCCTTACTTCCTCTTCCAGCTCCACACACGTCATGGCTGAATATTTGCTACGTATGGACGGTAAACCATATTCTGACATTCTCCTAATAGTTTTTACACTTACACCCAACATAGAAGCAATGTCTGTTAGTTTAAAGTTGTATTTCAACAGCGACACTAGTATTTCATATGGAATTTTGTAATAAGGTGCATCACTTTTCCCTTGGCAACGCTCTAGTGTAATTATTGTACAGGCTGTATATGTACTAGACTGATGTTGGTCCTGGCCATGGTCATTGTGTTCCCGCAAATCATACAGTGCCCGCGCTGCCAGTTCCAATACTTCGGATATATCGACCGATGCTATCGCCGAAAATTGATTCAATATATCAATTGTTCTTTCCAATTCACCATCAATGTTTTGTACTCTGTCATTCTCTAATCTGTTTGCCAGACTCAAGAATTTGTCTGCTATTTCTTGTCTTACCAGGACCTCAAGATGATCCATATTATAGATAGTTTCGACGTGACGTCACGCAACTTCCTGTTTATAGCGTGGCGGCCATGTTGGATGGGTGGAGACTTGTCATAAGTAGAGCGTGAAGTAAGAATTTATCGAGGTCATGGGCGTTCATTGTGCGATCATTGGTTGTTCCAATGAGAGTGGGCGGTGTAAGGCATCTTTCTTTCGTCTGCCAGCCATAATAACAAACCAGGGTGAGAAAACTGAGGAGCTTTCAACAAAGAGACGCACACTTTGGCTGTCGAGGATCAGCAGGGCAGACCTTACCCCGAAATCATACCCTTACGTAAGGGTGTGCTCTGAGCATTTTGAAAAAGGTATGTAGACTTCCCTGTAGACTTTGATCTCGTGTTTTGTTTATAATTACAATATATGAAATCACATAGGCCTACAAGAAAAAGGGCAACGAAGTTTAGAACAAATGCCGTGCCATAATCGTGTTTGTGTTGAAGGCGACCAGAAAAGCTAGCTTACATTAGCTAAGCTTATGTTGCAAAAAAAAAAAAAATACCTATACTGTATATATTGAAAGTTAATTTTAGGTATGAATATAAATTACCTCTTACCTTTAGATATTCTTTAAACACCAACAGTCGTCGGTAAAGAAAGTTGTTCTAGACCACATATAATGTTCAGTGATTTACATAATAATATGGGTTATTTATTTGAAGTGCAGGGGGGGGGGGGTGGGGGGGGGCAGTAATATTCCATAAGGAGGAGCTCGAGTCTTACTTGATATGTGTGGACAATTTCTAAGATAACTTGATAAATTTATAATGTCTACAGGAACCCATGGGCCCCCTTAAAATTTAAAATACACTCTTAGCTGTCTTTTACAAAGGGATACAAGTCCTAGATTTCTTTGGAGGCATTCTGACATTCAAATTTTGATGAAAAAAAAATCTCCTGTATACCCCAATTCAACAAAGTTGTTTGCTTTGTCCGTCCAAGAGGTTCCCCTGGCATATTTCCCATACTAGTTCACTTATGGTTACGAAACTTGGCATGTTTGGTCACTGTGAAATTGACTTTTGACCTACAAAATTATTTAAGCGAGGAGTGTGGATATTGAAAAAGGTACACCTTCGAGTGACATCTAGTCGTTTTTGTTTATTATATTGCTGTTTTTACCTTAAAGTGTTTTTATTGTATATCTTTTGTGTTACTGTTACAGGTAAGCCATCGCCTCTGTACCCGGAAGATGGTTTAGACTGGGCACCTTCCCTGAAGCTTGGTCACCAAAAAGTCACCAGTCTTGCTATACAGACCCCCCTTCGTGGTAACAGAATGAAACAAAGAGAGGAAAAGAAGAAGAGTGTTGAGGCTGCCCATTCACTCCTTGAACTTTTCAACCAGAGTCGACAAGACGAAGTACCAAAACTGGACGACCCTGAGCCAGATCATGAGGTAACTTGCGAGTCAGCTGATGATGATTATGTCAATGCCCAACATGTGCAGACAGAACTGTCTTCTGATTCTATAAGTGCACTTGAAAGTGATTACAACAGATTAACTGTGGAGAACATTGAACTCAGACAGAAACTAGCTAGCATGACAATCAGTGAAGAAGGTTTGAAGGATAATGATGACAAAGTTAAACTGTTGACTGGATTTGCCTCATATCACATTCTGATGACTGTATTCAGTTTCTTGGAACCATCACTTCATGTTACCCACAGTAGTGCACTGACCAAGTTCCAGCAAATGATGGTGGTGCTTATCAGACTAAAGTTAGCCTTTCCATGCCTGTATCTAGCTGACATTTTTCAAGTTGCCCCTAGTACTATAAGCAAAGTGTTTTTGAATTGCTTAAATGTGATGTTTGTGAAACTTAAACCACTAGTCTATTGGCCTCAGAGGGAAGAAATACAATTAACAATGCCGATGGAGTTTAGGAAGCACTTTGGACTTCGTGTAGCAGCAATTATTGACTGCTTTGAAATATTCATTGAGAGACCATCTGGATTAAAGGCGCGTGCGGAAACATGGTCCAACTACAAACACCACAACACGGCCAAGTACCTGATTGCCATAACGCCACAGGGAAATATTAGCTTCATCAGTGATGGATATGGAGGAAGGGCTTCAGACAAAATTATAACCAACACCAGTGGTTTCCTGGAGAAACTTTTGCACGGAGATATCATATTAGCAGACAGAGGTTTTGATATTGCGGAGAGTATTGCACAGGCCGGCTGTGAATTGAAGATCCCTGCATTTACCAAAGGAAAACCACAACTATCAGCCTTAGATGTTGAAAACACTAGAAAACTGGCACATGTAAGGATCCATGTCGAGCGTGTGATAGGACTTCTCCGTAATAAATTTGAAATACTCCACAAAACCATTCCGATTGACTTCCTAGCATCAACAGACAATTAAGTGCCAACCCTGGACAAAATAGTAACTATGTGTTGTGCTGTCACAAACATTGCAAGATCTGTAGTGCCATTTGATTAGTTGTTAAAAAACCAAGAAATACAACCGGTGTTTAGAACTTTGTGGTTTTTTCACAGTTAACTATATTGTTAATACTTTAGACTGATGAACTTTAATACCTCTTTGTATTGTAGGAAGTGATTGATTTATGAAAAGCTTATTTTTGCATTTTAAGTATGGAAAGAATACTATTTCAATAATACTTCAAGCATCTGTATTTTCATAGCGTCAAGTGTCTTATTTAATGCAAAGCAATTTCAATGGATAAATTTTTTTACACCCCTTTATACACAGAATGAATTAGTCTTATATAACTTTGCAAAATTTAAAAGGAACCAAATGATCAAAGATCATGGGAATGCAAAGTGAAGTATATGTATATGTATAGGCTAATTGCAAAATGTAAATTATGAGTATTTTCATGTTTGAGTGATGATTAATTTTCAATATTTTATACTTATCCATTTGCTCTAGGGCTGTTTTGTTGTACATTGTATTGATTATATGCAGTGCTATCACAAGAGAGAGTATTAAAATTTAAGTAAATTATAAAGATGTTTATTTATCACTTAGCTTAGGAGTGCCTGTAAGAGGTGGAGGGCTATGTGATTAATGGCATTACGCCTTAATCACTTGGCCACCGCGGCCCCTTTTAGTACTGAAGGGATCCCGAATTACAGATTATTAGTCCCCCACCGGGAACCGGGGGGGACTATAGTTTTGCGTCGTGTCCGTCCGTCCTTCCGCTCTCTTGTCCGGGCTCTATCTCCTATACTATGTGTCACTGGAACTTCAAACTTGGGGTATGAGTTCATCTTGGGGAGACGGTGTGTCATGTACCAAACGGAGGTCACTGTGACCTTGACCTTGACCTGTTGCCCACATCAAAGAAAAACTTTGTCCGGGCTGTATCTCCTACACTATTTGTCACTGGAATTTCATACTTGGGTTATGGGTTGACTTTGGGAAGGCGATGTGTCATGTAACAAAAGTAGGTCACTGTGACCTTGACTCTGACCTCTGACCCACATCAAAGATAAACTTTGTCCGGGCTTCATCTCCTACACTTTTTGTCACTGGAACTTCATACTTGGGTTATGGGTTTACATTAGTGAGGGGATGTGTCATGTAACATGAGTAGGTCACTGTGACTTTGACTTTGACCTCTGACCCACATCAAAGAAAAAGTTTGTCCGCGCTCCATCTCCTACAATACTTGTCACTAGAAGCGCATACTTTAGGTATTTTTTTACTGGGTCATGTATCTAAAACAAGTAATTCTGACTTACTCCTTGACATATAACGCATGGGCTCTTTCTCCTGCACTACTTTCATGGTTCTTATTCGGGCTATCGGTTCACATGCATTGAAGAAGAAGTGTAATTGCCAGTCAACTAAGAATGATTTCAGAGAACAAGTTTACGTTTTTGTTGCTCAACTGGAGAATGACTACAGCCATTGTTTGAAATTACCATGACTGTTGGTTTTACACATAGGAATAGATAATACCATTGATTCAAATTTATTTAGTGATTACCTCTTTGAATCTGTGATATGACTTCTTCACTTAATTACTAAGATCAGTCAGTGATACCTACATTTATACCATCAAATGTAATCCATTAATGAAATGCTTTTGAATACATGGTGTAACCAGATTCAATAATAAAACTCTACCACTAACTAGTAAACAAGCATTGACAATATCAGACAGTCTTTTATAGAATTGTTCCTGCACAAATTTATCATCTGTTCATTTCATATTCGGTGGGGGACTATAATTCGCCGAATTGTCTTGTTTAATAAGAATTTGCCAGATTTAATTCCATGGATTAGAAGATTTTAAAATCAATGGTCATTTTCAAAATCTAATGTGAAAGTTTTATTGTTATTTTACTACAGTATTTAAATTTTCCAGATAGATAATTGAAAATTAGGTGGGAGCAATGTTGAAAATTAGCTGGGAGAAATGTTCATTGTATTTGATCATTGATTTTAAAATCTCGATCTATTGATTCTCAAGCACAGAAGCCATAGTTTAGCAAGGTCTGTATGTCTGGATCAACGTTAACCCAGGGCATCCATTTGACTCTTGATTTCTAGCAATTTCAGAAGTCAAATCACTATTTTTCAGAAATTTGAAGAGTCAGAACATATGTCAAATACACATGTCCCTCCAATCCAAAGAGTCAAATCTCATTTTGGGAAGTCAAAAATATACTCTTGAGGGTCTACTGGATGCCCTGGTTAACCCCTGTGCAAAATGGCCCTCTGTCTATAACTGTCCACAGTTCGGTCCCAAGATTTCAAATGTTGGCGATATTTATCTAGTACACTGTCTTTCCAGTGCTTTCCTTAAAAAAAATAACCACTTAGCTTTTTCACGAAGATCAAGATACAAGATATGCTCCAGATAAAATCATAGAACCCAATTTTCTATGTGCCAAGGATACTTATTGGGTTGAATATATGGTCATTATTCCAAGGTTTAATTTGGTTGGTGACATAGTACAAAAATCCTGTGATTGGACCGTTTCACCAGAACTTTCAATATCTCATGATGAATTGAAAAGAGAGACAACAAAGTCACTTCAAATATTTAATCTTGTAATGCAATCGCATTACAACAAACACTGAAACTTGAATATAAAAATACATTAAAGCATACCATGAACATTTACAGAATTCAAAACTGTCCATTCATATTTGCAACAACTAGCTAATATTTGTAACATAGTAGTGTATTTCCTGACAATTTATTAAAATTGCCAATGACCTATTCAAAAATTTAGAATTTTCATGAAATCAGGAAAAATTGGAATGTATTACCACAGTGTATACTGCAGGTTATCTTTAATAAACTACGTAGACATCTAAATTTCAAGAGTAACCAAATTATTAGGTGATGACAAAACACTACTACGTAAAATTATGCATAAAATTACACTAAAATGTCAGTTTTGGAATGAGAAAATTGATTTAAAAAAATTAATAATAATCACTGTGTTAATTTCATTTGAAACATTTAAACCTACCGGTATATAATTATGTACGTATACCACAAACATGACAAAATGCCATGGTATCTACCCCGAGATTTATAACTGGTAATATATACTGCTTAACACACCAAAAGAGTAATAAATCTTAAACAGCAGTTGTTACCATGTAGAGTGTAACATGTCTAAACCAGGTGTCACTTTTGACCAGTTTACACAGTTACAACACAGTATGTAGTGGTCAACATATATATTGGTAACATTTTGTTACCATTAAGGCCGGAATGCTGAGGGATCCGAATTTCACAGGGTCCTGTTTAGGCAAGTTACACTGTATAACTTTGCTTTCATCATGTACATCATGTAAGAACGGTATTTAAATATTTATCAAAATTATGTCAAGTACGTACGTTGTTCGCATTATATGACATATCTATCACTATCGACTAGAAATAAATTATTCACAAAATACAATGTACTTACATAAACATACATTTAAATGCATTCATTAACCAGGTAGCTTTTAAAATGTCCATTTAAATAAGTAGCCACAAATTAGCATGACCACATACCCTATACTCATTAAAATTCATTTGTGTAACTGTTTTTTATTAATCCAAGTACACTGTACGGAATATACGTACGCACGGACACTCACATTAAATCAAGTTTATTGACAGTTCAGAATTAATGTTTTCTGAAACGTTTCTTTGGTCTGGAGGCACTGATGGAAGAAGCTGATGATCTCTTACAATCAGGGCAATACCACTTTCCTTTTGGGAGTCTCGACTTTGTCAATTTCAGACAGTCCAAGTGAAACCATTCCAGTTTACAATTTTCATTTTCACAAGCAACCATTTCTCTGTCAGGGGTTTCGGGCTGCTGGCAAATGCAGTACACATGTTCTTTGTCATCAATGACTCTGTCATCTCCGGGTAGAGTTGTGGCACCGTTCACAACATTTAGTGGTCCATCTTGTCTTGTCTCAGCATGGGAGGTACGGCTTGGATGAGAATAAAACTTTCCAACCAGCTCTGGCATAATTGCGATTGAGTGGAAGTCCTTCGCTGTTGTGCTCATCTCCTGCCACAACTGGTCATTAGGTTCTATTCTCTCAATGTGCATGTCTTGCTCAGTCCATACAACAAAGTCGCAAAATTCCCGTTTTGTAACAAACATCTGTGTTTGGACTTGGTAGTAGTATTGGTGTTCTGTTTTCAGTTTTTTCCCATCTGGTGTATCCTCTAAGCAAGAGTAGTCGTTAAGTGAGGACTGTCTGACACTGTAAGGACACTTTATTTCAACTACACCAATACCACAACAATCACACGCCACAAGTCCATCTGGAGAGGCACCTAATGTTGGGAAGTCCGGGTTGATGGTGAATCCTGCGTTTTCCAGCGAAAAGTTGTCATGCAGGAGTTCCATTGCTTCCTTGTAGGAGGTTCTAGCTACATGTTCATGATCCATAACCCAAGACGTTGCCACAGATTTAAAGGAAGTTTCAGTTGGGTAGCAAATGGAGGAGATCAGACTCTTTGATGGAGCTGCTGGGTTAGTGCGGCACACCGCAAACATCTTTGATGCTGTCACACGACCACTCCTGAATCTATTCCAGAGCTTGGACTTTGACTGTTCTTTCGTAGCACTTTCAACATTCGCTGCCTCTTGATCAGAAACCTCAATCTTCAGATTCTTGCACTTGATCATGATTTCACTAAAACCAGCACTTAAAAGTTCCTTGTTAAACAGATCAGTCAATATCAGTGGAAAATTAGCACTTACAGGTGTTGGGATGAACTCTTTCTGGAATGGGGCTTTAACACTAAGGATAACTGATCTTGCTCCAGTTGCACTCAGTCGTTGGAGAAATCCTGTAAGTTCTTCCTCAGTCGGAGGATGAACTTCTCGAAGCTCCTGTTGCGAGCGTGGAGTCACTGGTGTGCCAGCAAGTTGGTTATCCAGTGTTTTCTTCTTTGTTCGTGCTGATGTAAAGTCAATTTCTTTAAGAGTTTTATAGTTTGCTCCTTTCACACTTGCCGGGAGCCAGTAGGCCTTCTCTTCTGTCACAGTCCTGGAGTTTCGAACCAGCACAGTAGCCTCAATGCTGTAGAGGAGTGCTGCAACGTGGGTGCAGCACTCTCCTAATCCTGCCATGCAGTTGCAATGTGCCGCAAGGACCTTTCCATCTGGTTCAATGATAATCCATGGGGTCAGTGGAGTGTCGGTTAATCTTTGAGAATGCATCACCTAAAAAAACAGAGAAAGTTTCGATATATACAGGGTCTTGTAACCTGAATTGGTTTATTTTACTGACAACCACAATCCTACATTTTGCAATACCAGTTAGTATTTTCATGATTTGTTTATAAGGAATTCTCATTTTCCGTGCTGCACAAAGTTCAGACGATTACACTAAATAGATCTAAACTACATTAGACGATACGAGTTTTGACTGATTACACATCTTAAAACTTCAAGTGTATTTGATCGGCTTATCAGTTACAATTTGCAACCAATATCCTGACACTAATTGATACCATTTGATTTTACAGATATAATAATTATTCACAAACTACTTTTAATATACAGTCCAATAAATTATACAACGACATCATTATCAATTAATATGATGTTTTACACTGAACAATCATAAACGATAAAGCTATTGTTTGAAATATTTTTGAAAACATAACATTAACAAGTGCATTCAAATTTTTTTTGTAATAAACAGATTGTGAAAATGGTATAAGCAGTGAACTGCTTTCAAATTGGCTTTCATGGGCTGATGAATGCCAACTGGACAAAGGCAAATCTAACACATGAAGCATTAGTCACTTCATTAAATTTGCCTTTTGTCCAGTTGGCATTCATCAGCCCATAAATGCCAATTGAAATCAGTTCAATGCTTAAATAATGTTGTTTTTTTTTCACATTAGCTAAACACATGGACATAACAACATGTGTGACCCCCATCAAAATAATCACATCAATTTCATACGAAAAACAACCCAGAGCAGCACACTACACAGCAAATAGATACCACAACACAAGTTAAGTACAGGACATGGAAAATCTCAACTAGCCCACATTACAACATGTCAAACAAGATACGACTAATATTATTTTACAAAATCATATACAATCATGTCGCATTAGATCACAGCCACATTTTGATAACAATTTAATTGCTTATATATCTCAAATTATCAATTATTTGAAATTAAAAGGTTAAAAACATTCACATGAAGGTGCTACTAATTTGAGCATAGAGCATGCTGTTTGAGATCTACTATTGGAAAGCCTATATAATACTTGGGCATGTTTTTTTTTAATGAAATGATTTTCAAACATCACATTTTAATAAATTAATAGACCTGTATCATATTATATAAAAGTTTGATAACAATTTAACTGCTATGTCTCAAAATATCAATTCATAATCCTGTTCGAGGAGGTATTTGGTTAAATCGGCCCCGCTGATAATTGGCAGGGCCGATTTGGTAGGGGTTAAATCGGCCCGAGGTAAAACCGGCCTCTACATTTATAAAATATAGGTTACGCTTCTTTCGTACGCACGACAACAATGTTTTTCATTATACAAGCAAAATACAAATCATGATTTTGTTGTCTTTTATCATGAAATAAACAAGATATTATCAAACTTTTGTCATTTATTTATATTTCTGATCACTTCACCCTTATATACGGCTGCCAGCAAACAATATAAACTACAAATAGATAAACCTTGTCCTTGGGTCCCAGTGGAACAAGTGTCTGATCCTGTTTGCATATTTGCAAATAAAATATGTTTAAATCAAATCAATCATTACATCAATCAATTTGATAAGTAATTAATTAACAGGAAAAACCAGAACAAAATGACACAAAATGCCTGTAATTTAATTCACAATAAGATGGATATAAATTGAAAATTAAATATCTTCTAGATACAATATATTGAGGCCGAAATTACATGGAACAGATTTAACTTGGGTAAAATTTAGGCCGATTTTCACCGGCGCCGATTTGACTGTTCATGTAGACCCATCTCGACTTCTTAACAATCAGTCGACAGATTGTTTTTTTACCCTTTTTACTAAAATACTAACAAAAACTATCACTTAGCATAATTCTTTTGCACACCGATGCAAAGTACGGCCCAAAACCACAGCCATTTGTGTGTACCAAAAAAAATCGCTAGCTGTTAAAATTAACAGCTAGCGATTTTTTTTTAGTACACACAAATGCCTGTGCCCAAAACCACTGACATGACATGTAATAGAGTCAAATAATATATTGACGAAGTTTGTAATTCACGGAGAATTATACTTACTCTTGCAGTATGTAGGCAGAGATCGTTGACTTTGTACACTGCTACATCTCGTACCCATCCGCTGATGAATTGGTTGTATGCCTGCAATCCCTTGTAACACTTCAGCTCTTCAACAGTGTAAACACTTGTAAAGTTCACCAAATACATAAAAATGTCTGCGAACGTCACACTTGCCCAAAGATTTATGTCTTTACTCCACTTGGTCTTATCCAGTAGATACGGATCTATCTTGTCAATCAAAGCACATTTCTCATCGTATCTTCTTTTAGAAACATCATCCAATGATTGTCTGTATCCAAGCAAGGCTTTACTAGCCATTTTCGTCGCTTGCAAATCACCACTGTGCAATGAAAAGTTAACAATGCTCGATAATGCAGTATGGTCGTCTACCCATCCAAAATGGCCGCTGTATATTCCAGAAACCCGGATGTAGTC